AAAAAAAAAGAATCTCATAAACTTTGTCTCTTACAGGCATCAGCCACCAGTACCTGGCTTGAATTTTTATATTTACCATTAAAAGTACTTTATGTATTGTTTCTGAAGAGAAACCAATTATGAGTATGGCTTCTAGAATGGACAAATGAAAAAATTGGCATGTCTCAACAGCTTAAAAAAAATAACCAAACAAGCAAGGCGCTGGTGGCTCACGCCTGTAATCCCAGCTACTCACGAGGCTGAGATCTAAGGATCATGGTTCGATGCCAGCCTGGGCAAGAAAGTGTGAGACTCCTATCTCCAAAAAACCACTAGCTGTGGCTCAAGTGGTAGAGCAGTAGGCTTGAGCAGACAAGCTCAGGGACAGCACCAAGGCCCAAAGTTCGAGCCCCATGACCAAAAGCAAACAAACAAACAAATGAAAAAAAAACAAACAGTATTTAAGTCTTACCTAACCCATGCTTTGTTTTAATCTGCAGGAATCATCACCAAGACCTTATGAAAGGCAACATAGTGAGTAGCCCCTTTTTTGTGGGCTTGAGTTTGTTTCTTGGCTAAGAGGCAGAAGGTTTCTAACATATCTATGGCTTATGAATGCTGAACGTGTCTTTTAGGCACAGCTTCTTTGTAGCACACCAAATGCTTTGGATCATGACCTTCGAAAGAAAGATTTGATATGTAGTTTATCTACAAATAAAGAAAACGTGAGTATTTAATGGAAACGTAGGAATATTAGTGGGTTTTTTTTCCCCTTTGATTGAACTCATTGTATGAGACCTAAAGTTCTGTGTGTATATATATATATTTTTTTTTTTGGAGGGGGGGGTCTGGTCATGGGGCCTGAACTCTGGGCCTGGGCGCTGTCCCTCAGCTCTTCAGCTCAAGGCTAGTGCTCTACCACTTGAGCCACAGCGCCACTTCCGGCTTTTTTCTTTTTGCTTATATGGTGCTGAGGAATCGAACCCAGGCCCTCAGACATGCAAGGTAAGCACTCTACCACTGAGCCACCTTCCCAGCCCCTATATATATATTTATATATCTCAGTATTTTAGACAAACTGGAGGAGGGAATCTTTTTTGTTGTTGTTTTGTCAGTTGTAGGGTTTGAACTCTGGGCTTGGGCGCTATCTCTCAGCTCTTCAGCTCAAGGTGAGCGCTCTACCCCTTTGAGCCACAGTGCCATTTCCGGTTTTCTAGTGGTTTTTTGGAGATAAGAGTCTCAAGGACTTTCCTGTCTGGGCTGGCTTTGAACTGTGATCTTCAGATCTCAGCCTCCTGAGTATAGCTAGGATTACAGGCGTGAGCCACCAGCACCTGGCTGTTTTTTGTTTTTGTTTTTTTGGGGTCTAGTTGTGGGGCCTGAACTCTGGGCCTGGGCGCTGTCCCTCAGATCTTCAGCTCAAGGCTAACGCTCTACCACTTGAGCCACAGTGCCACTTCTGGGTTTTTTCTTTATGTGGTGCTGAGGAATCGAACCCAGGGCCTCAGGCATGCAAGGCAAGCACTCTACCACTGAGCCACCTTCCCAGCCCCTTGTTTTGTTTTTTGTACAGACCTTTTCTGCTTGTCCTAGCCATATACTAGTTAGTGCAAAATAAGAGAAACCATGGGACTTATGTTTATCTGGGCCTGGCTTACTTCACTTAATATAAATCTTTCCAAGTCTTTCCATTTCCTAACAAATGTCATTCTTTCTGTTTTTTTGTTTTTTGTTCTTTTGTTGGTCGTGGGCCCTGAACTCTGGGCCTGGGTGCTGTCCCTTAGCTCTTCAGCTGTAGACTAGCACTTTACCACTTGAGCCTCAGCCCCACTCTGGCTTTTTCTGCTTATGTGGTGCTGAGGAATCCAATCCAGGGCCTCATGCATGCAAGGCAAGCACTCTACCACTGAGCCACCTTCCCCGCCCCTTAAAATGTCATTCTTTCTGATGGAGGCATAGAATTCCATTGCATACATATACCACATTTTCTTGATCCATTCATCTTCTAAGGGGCATCTGGGTTGGTTCCATATTTTAGCTATGGTTATTATTATTATTATTATTTTACATCGGAAAGATACACAATTGTGTTTGGTTGTTTTCATCAGCCTTTCCTTCCTTTTGTTTTTTGTTGGTCAAGGGGCTTGAACTCAGGGTCTGCGCACTGTCCCTGAACTCTTTTGCTCAAGACTAGTTCTCTACCACTTTGAGCCACAGCTCCACTTTCGTTTTTTTGGTGGTTAATTGGAGATAAGAGTCTCACGGGGATTTTCTTGACCATGCTGGCTTTGAACCTTGATCCTAAGATCTTAGCCTCTTGAGTAGTGAGGATTACAGGTATGAGCCACCAGCACCCAGCCTGATTAGCTTTTCTCTCTCTCTTTTTATTTTTGGTTAGCCTTTTCTTGATGTAGTACTATAGGTATTATCTCTCTTTATAATCATCTTTTAACAATTCATCCCAAGCTTGTTTTTCCCTTTCTGTCCTTTTTGCTTGTGATAATAAATTAGTATCCTCTTGAACAAATCAACATGCCAGATATCAAATTCATATTATTTTTATTTTTATTTTATTTATTTATTTTTGTGGGTCATGAGGCTTGAACGCTGGGCCTGAGTACTGTCCTTCAGCTCTTCAGTTCAAGGCTACCACTCTACTACTTGAGCCACAGCCCCACTTCTGGCTTTTTCTGTGTAGTGTATTGGAAATAAGAGTCTCACGGGCTTTTCTGCCTGGGCTGGCTTTGAACTGTGATCCTCAGATCTCAGTCTCCTGAGTAGCTAGGATTACAGGCATGAGCTACTGGCACCCAGCTATTTGTAGCTTTAGAATATACGTTTAATATGTTTTATAAGTGTTAGGAAAATGGAGGAGAATGGAAAGAAATAGGTGGGACTCGATTATTAACAGGCTAGGAAAGTTTGTTGTCAGCAAGCACATACCTTCCCACGGGTTTTGGAGGTTGTGTGAGGGACTGGATTTGGGGCCATGTTTATGTGGGTCTTAACAAGGAAGCAGAAAATAAAAAATGGGCTGTGGTCTCATGGGGGCCAAGCTGTGATGTTCTTGGCCAGGCCCTGAGTGGAATACTGTGCCTGGAGTGAGGGGGTTTTCAGCTAAGCCAAGGTCAGAGTGACCTGCATGCTTAGACAAGCACGTGAGCCAGCACCTGGTGCCTTGCTTGACCTGGGGGAATAGGCAGGAGTCAGTCCTTCAGATTCCATCTTTAGATACATAAAAAGATTGAGCTGAGGGGCTGGGAAGGTGACTCAGTAGTAGAGTGCAGTTTTTCTTATTCAGGGAAACACCACTTTAAAATCCTTGGAGTGGCAAGCATCTAGAAACCTGAGGTTTCAAAGAAGACTAGGGGAGCTTCATGTGTCTCCCCTTTCTCTGCTGGTGAGTCATTGAATATGATCCTTAACAGTAAATTGGGGTACCATGAGCATTGTATAGCAACTCTGGATTTATAACTGACTTTTTCTAAGCTGAAAAGAGGTTGGACAAGTAAAGTTAGAGTAGAGGAAAAATAAGAACCAGATGTCTTCTAATTTTTTTATTTATATTTAATAAGGAAATTTTTTTTTTTTGCCAGTCCTGGGCCTTGAGCTGAGGACCTGGGCTCTGTCCCTGAACCTCTCTGTGGCTCAAGGCTAGCACTCTACCACTTGCGCCACAGCACCACTTCCAGCTTTTTCTGCTTATGTGGTGCTGAGGAATCGAACCCAGGGCCTCTGCATGCAAGGCAAGCGCTCTATCACTGAGCCACCTTCCCAGCCCCAGGAAACATTTTTTTCCTAAGCTCCTTTTCCCCCTTTTGTTTCTTTTTCTTCTTCTTAATCTTTTTTTGAAATTTTGTTATTGTTGTCACCCATACTGGCTTTGAATTCCTGTGTTCTTGAACTCGTTATCTTTCTGATTCAGCTGTGGTGACAGTTCCTCTCTCACTCCCTCCTTCCTTCTTTCCTCTCAATCTTCCTTACTTCTTGTATCAGCTTAAACTCAGAACCAGAGTGCCTGAGTTAGTCAGGCACTCTACTGCTGAGCCACATCACCAGCCATTTTTTGTCCTAGTTAGTGTGTGTGGGTCTGTGTATGCATTTGCGCATGTATGTGCGCCTATGCTGGGGCTTGAACTCAGACAACTCTACTTCTTAATTCATGGCTGGTACTACCACTTCAGCCACACACACCTTCCCTTGCTGGCTAATTGGAGATAAGAGTCTTGTGGACTTGGGCTGGGAAGGTGGCTCAGTGGTAGAGCGCTTGCCTTGCATGCCTGAGGTCCTGGGTTCGATTCTTCAGCACCACATAAGCAAAGAGAAAAAAGCCGGAAATGGCGCTGTGGCTCAAGTGGTAGAGCGCTAGCCTTGAGCTGAAGAGCTCAGGGACAGCACCCAGGCCCAAAGTTCAGGCTCCACGACCAGACCCAAAAAAAAAAAAAAAAGAGTCTTGTGGACTTGACTTTTCTTCCCTGGCTGGCTTCAAACCTCCATCCTCAGATCTCAGCCCTTCCTGTAAGCTAAATGTGAGCCACCAGTGCTACCAGTGTCCAGCCTGCTTCCTTCTTTCCTTTCTTTGTTTTTCTGCCCCAGCTACAAGCTAGAATTATAGGTGTGTGCCACGGCTTCTTTATTCTTTTTCCTCTTCATAATGAAACAGTATGTGCTCATTATGAAAGTGGCTTTAAAAGTATAGGAAAGAGGGCTGGGAAGGTGGCTCATTGGTAGAGCGCTTGCCTTGCATGCCTGAGGCCCTGGGTTCGATTCCTCAGCACCACATAAGCAAAAAGAAAAAAGCCAGAAGTGGTGTTGTGGCTCAAGTGGTAGAGCGTTAGCCTTGAGCTGAAGAGCTGAGGGACAGCACTCAGGCCCAGTGTTCAGGCCCCACGACTGGACCTCCCCCCCAAAAAAAACCAAAACAAACAACAACAAAAGTATAGGAAAGATAAAGCTACTACCTAAAAATAGAATTAATGTTACCTAATTTAATGTGGCTTTACAAAGCTAAGGTCATATTGAATATACAATATACTTTTTGAGGCATGGTCTTTCTATGAATCTCAAGTTGGCTTCTAACTAAAAAATTCTGCTTTGGCCTCCCTCATACTTCGCTTAAAGGTATATACCACCATGCCCAGCTCCAGACATAAAATTTGATGTCCTACTTTTTTTAGTTTTCGTGCTGGGGATGGAACCAGGACATGAAACATGCTAAGCTGTGTTCTACCAGTAAACTATATCTCCAGGCCATTTGTTTCTGTTTTCTAATATTGCAAACTTTAGGGTTTTTTTTGTACTTTTATATGAATATGTGTTTTGTATGAATATATTTTTTCTTTGCAAACATTATTTTAAAGGACTTTAAAAATAAATACACTATACTTTATATTATTGGACACAGATATATTCACATGTTACTTTAACAAATAATATTACAAATTTTTGAGCATTACTCTTCGTATTTCACATAGAATTGGAACAAGAATTACTAGGTTTAAATTTTTGGCCTGGGGCTAGGCACCAGTAGCTCAGGCCTGTAATCCTAGCTATTCAGGAGGCTGAGATCTGAGAATCATGGTTCAAAGCCAGCCTGGACAGGAAAGTCTCTGAGACTCTTATCTCCAATAAACCACCAGAAAACTAGAAGTGGTGTTGTGGCTCAAATGGTAGAGTGCTAGCCTTGAGCTGAAGAGCTGAGGGACAGCGCCCAGGCCCAGAGTTCAAGCCCCATGACCACCCAAAAAAAATTTTTTTTTGGCCTGGAGCCTGTGGCTCACATCTATAATCCTAGCTACTCTGGAGGCTGAGATCTAATGATCAAGATTCAAAGCCAGCCCAGGCAGGAAAGATGGTGAGACTTTTATCTACAAATAACCACCAAAAAACAGGAAGTGGTAGAGTGCTCACCCAGATCTGAAGAGCTCAGGGACAGTGCCTAGGCCCAGAGTGCAAACCCCATGACCAACCAAAAGAAAACAACTTTTTTTTTTTTTTGAAGGAATACAGCTTAGTGGTAGAGTGCTTGCCAAGCATGCACTGGGTTTGATTCCTCAGTATCACATAAACAGAAAAAGCTAGAAATGGTACTGTGGCTCAAGTGGTAGAGTGTTACCCTTGAGCAAAAGAAGCTCAGAGACAGTGGCCAGGCCCTGAGTTCAGGCCCCAAAACTGGCAAAAAAAAAAAAAATTAAGATATTTGAGCTGGACACTAGTGCCTCATGCCTGAAATCCAAGATACTAAGAAGGCTAAGATCTGAAGATCCTGGTTCAAAGCAAGCCCAAGCAAACAAATTCCAGGAAACCGTTACTTTCATTTAATTAGTAAAGAGCTGAAAGTAGAGGAATAGCTTGAGAGGTAGAGTACCCGCTCTGAGCAGAACAAAACTAAGAAAGAGCATGAGGCCCTGAATTCAAGGGCCACTCCTGGAGCAACAACAACAACAAAAACGCCAACAAGCCAAGCAAGCAAACAAACAAACAAATATGTATATGTGTGTGTATGTGGTTTTGATGTGTACTTCAGATTCCTCTTTTGAAAGGTTACAAGAATTTAGAGTTTTTTTTATTGTTATTATTGAGGAGTTGTAAAATGAATTGTAATTCCATAAGTCAGGTAATGACTATAATGCTTCTTAGATAATGTTACCCCTTCCTTTGCTTTTCTCCATTTTCTCCCGCCTGTTTCTGCCCACAAGTTGCTTAGTTCATTTTTTACATAGTTTATATTGGATACCATGACTCTATTTATTCACCCTACCTCCCTCCATTCCTGTACCCCCCTAAGAATTTAGATTTTTATGAGTAATCCATTTCTTATAGCTTTGTCATCACTTAAAATGTTAATAATTAGACAAGTGAAATATTTTGTTTTATATTAAAAATATTTAAGTTGGGTGCTGGTGGCTCATGCCTGTAATCCTAGTTACTCAGGAAGTTGGGATCTCAGGATTGCAGTTTGAGACCAACCCAGGCAGAAAAGACCATAAGACTCTTATCCCCAATTAACCACCAAAAAAACCCCAGAAGTAGAACTGTGGCTTTTGTGGTAGAGTGCCTATCTTGAGTGAAAAGCCAAGGGACAGTGCCCTGGCCCTAAATTCAAGTCCTAGTATCAGAAAAAACAAAAACAAAGCCAAAACCCCAAAAAACTAGTGATGTCATGTGAATGTATTAAACATTTTGAATTGTTTCTATCTTTTGATTATTGTGAGTAATGCTGCTGTGAACAGAATATACAAATCTGGAGGAGTAAGCCGGGCACTGGTGGCTCACGCCTGTAATCCTAGCTACTCAGGAGGCTGAGATCTGAGGATCACGGTTCAAAGCCAGCCCGGGCAGGAGAGACTGAGACTCCTATCTCCAATAAACCACCAGAAAACTGGAAGTGGCACTGTAGCTCAAGTGGCAGAGCGCTCGCCTTGAGCTGAAGAGCTGAGGGACAGCGCCCAGGCCCAGAGTTCAAGCCCCACGACCGACAAAAAAAAAAAAAACAAATCTGGAGGAGTGGTTCATCAATAGACTGCCTGCCTAGCAAGTATAAACTCCTGATTTCAAACTCCAGGACCACAAAAAAAAATTATCTATAACTTTGAGTTAATGTTTTCAGTTCCTTTTTTTTTTTTTTTCTTTTTTTGTGCCAGTGCTAGGGCTGGAAATCAGGGTCAAGGCAGACTCTCTTAGGCTGATGATATACCACCATTGGAACCATAACTACATTTCCAGGTGTTTGTTTGTTTTTGTTTTAGTTTTTTGTCGGTCAAGGGGCTTGAACTCTGGGCCTGGGCACTGTCCCTCAGCTTTTCAGCTCAAAGCTAAGCTCTACCACTTGAGCCACAGCATTACTTCTGGTTTTCTGGTGGTTAATTGGAGATAAGTGTCTCATGGACTTTCCTGCCTAGAATGGCTTTGAACGTGATCCTCAGATCTCAGCCTCCTGAGTAGGATTTACAGGCGTGTGCCACCTGCACCTGGCTTACATTTCTAGTTTTTTGCTGGGTAACTGGGGAGTCTCATGGACTTTCCTGCCTGGGCTGGGCTTTGAACCACAATCCTCAGACCTCAAACAACTGAACAGCTAGGATTACAGGTGTGAGCCCAGTTCTTGCATTTAAATACTTTTTTTTAGGGCTGGGAAGATGGCTTAGTGGTAGAGTGCTTACCTAGCATGCATGAAGCCCTGGGTTTGATTCCTCCATATCACATACACAGAAAAAGCTGGAAGGGGGTGCTGTGGCTCAAGTGGTAGAGCGCTAGCCTTGAGCAAAAGAAGCTCAGGGACAGTGCCCAGGCCCTGAGTTCAAGCCCCAGGACTGGAAAAAAAAAAGAAAAAAAAGAAAATTTTTTTGGGGGGGTCCGGTTGTGGGGCCTGAACTCTGGGCCTAGGCGCTGTCCCTCAGCTCTTCAGCTAAGGCTAGTGCTCTACTACTTGAGCCACAGCACCACTTCTGGCTTTTTTCTTTTTGCTTATGTGATGCTGAGGAATCGAACCCAGGGCCTCATGCATGCAAGGCAAGCGCTCTACCACTGAGCCACCTTCCCAGCCCCAGGAAAAAAATATTTTAATGTTTTATATTTTGTGGTTGAATTCATGACTTCAGGCTTGCAGGTGACTCCACCATTTGAACTATATTTCTGCCAAGTCTTTTATGTATTTTAAGTCAATCTTTGTATGGTTTAAGATAAGGTCCTAAATAGGCATGGGAAGTGTTTTGTTTATTTTTGGTTTTTGCTCATTTGTTTTTGAGACAAGGTCTCATTATATGCCCAAGAGTAGTCCAGAACTTAGGATCCTCCTTCTCAGCCTCTCAGATTCTGGGTTATAAGTATAGCTCACCACACCCAGTTCTGAATATGTTTTAATATTGTTAATATACTTGACAGAACAATGGAATCTTGGAAAATGAAATGAAATATCTAGGCAGTCCCATTACTGCAGTTTCAAAGTTGGATAAAAATCCAAAACTAGAAGACAACATGATAGAAGGGATTTCAAGAGAATTGACTGACTTTTCCTTGAAAGATGAAGAAGACATCAAGGTACAGTACTATCTGATGATATCTTTGCATTTTCCTCATTTTATTTTTGAGTAAACAATATTGTGTGTCTAATAATGTTTCAGCCACTGTCCCACATGTTAGTATTACAGAGATCAAGAAGACATGGTTTTAGAGCTGGGAATAGTCGTGCATACCTATAATCTCAGCATTTGAGAGATAGAAGCAAAATGATTGAGTTTAAGATCAGCTTGGTTTACAAAGAGGAACCTAGTCATGAAAACAAAAATGAAAATAGACATGATCATTAGACTTAGAGCTATCTGATTAGTAGTGTGTTAGAGGTATGTGTGGTTGTTTGTGGATATTTTACTCCTGGGTAGGCAGGTTCCAGTTAGTAAGTTTGAGAAGCTCATCATCAATGTAATCTGGTAGTGGATGAACTATACCAAACATGATAATTGAAATTATTGTAGTATATCTGCCCACCTGTTTCTTTTTATCCTCCCTGTATCTGAAGCCCGTGGCCTTTTGAGCTATGTACTAATATGCCAAAGATAGTTTCTGAGGCATTTCTGAATCAACTTTTTTTTTTTTTTGTCAGTCGTGGGGCTTGAATTCTGGGCCTGGGTGCTGTCCCTGAGCTCTTCAGCTCAAGGCTAGCGCTCTACCACTTGAGCTACAGCGCCACTTCCGGTTTTCTGGTGGTTTATTGGAGATAGGAGTCTCACAGTCTTTCCTGCCCGGGCTGGCTTTGAACCGCGATCCTCAGATCTCAGCTTCCTGAGTAGCTAGGATTACAGGGGTGAGCCACCAGCGCCCGGCTTGAATCAACTTTTAAACAAATCTGGTGTTAGTACCTTTTAAGTTTGTTCATTTTACAAGATAAATAGGCTATAGTGGAATTAGAACACTTGTTTTAGTTCTTATTCTCTTATTTACTCCTGTTATAACTATTTGCAAGGCAGTTAATGTTGCCTCAGTGAATAAACCTTTGTTTTTCATTTATAAATTGGGCAACATAGCAAAAATTTTCCATAGGATTGTTGTAAATATGAAAAATATTAAGTTTTTGTGCTCATCTCATGCATATGTATGTAGACATGAATAGTAGCTGTTTGGTAAAGGATGTGTTGATTTGATTGTAGTGTTAATTTGATTTTACACATAGATTGCATGTATGAATAGAATTATGCAATTTTTGTCCACTATACCTCACATAAAACTGAAAAAAATTACTATTTTTATTATTCCACTTTCTGGGGGGAGGTTTGTTGTTGCTGGTACTGGGGCTTGAAATTACTGCCTCATACTCTCCCTCAGCGTTTTTCACTCATGGCTTGTGCTCTATCACGTGAATCATACCTTCAGTCTGACATATGCTAGTTAATTGGAGATAGAGTTTCTCAGATTGTCTGCCAGGGCTTCTTTCAAATGGAACGCATCAGACCTCACCTAGAATTACAAATGAGCCACCAGCACCCAGCTCACTATATACATTTTAACTTCATACTTTATACTTGAATATATTCTTCCTTGTAAAAATTAAAACACAAGCTGGGCACCAGTGGCTCACACCTGTAATCCTAGCTACTCCAGAGGCTAAGATCTGAGGATCATGGTTCAAAGCCAGTCCGGGCAGGAAAGTCAGTGAGACTCTTAATCTCCAATAAACCACTAGAAAACCGGAGTAGCACCCAAGCACAGAGTTCCAGCCCCATGACCGACAAAAAACAAACAAAAAACAATAAGCCACAAGTGCTTGGCTTCCATTTCCTTTTTTTTTTTTTGTCAGTTGTGGGGCTTGAACTCTGGGCCTGGGTGCTGTCCCTCACCTCTTCAGCTCAAGGCGAGCGCTCTACCTCTTGAGCCACAGCATCATTTCCAGTTTCCTAGTGGTTTATTGGAGATAAGAGTTTCATGGAGTTTCTTGCCCGGGCTGCCTTTGAACCGCGATCCTCAGATCTCAGCCTAGGACTACAGGCATGAGCCACCAGTGTCTGGCTTTGTGACTCATACTTGTACTCATCCTAACTACTCAGGAATCTGAGATCTGAGGATCATGGCTTGACACCAACCTGGGCAAAAGTCCTTGAGACTCTTAACCACTAAAAAGCCAGACGTGGAGCTGTCTTTCAAGTGATATAATGCTGGCTTTGAACAGGAACTCAGGGACAACTCCCATACTCTGAGTTCAAGCCCAGGACCAGAAAAAAAAAAAAAGTGAAATAGTAAGGGAGAATGTAAAGGGAGTGAGATTGATTGGAATGCATTGTAAATATGTTTGGAAATGTAATAATAAAATTTAGCCTGGTATAATATAAACTAATTAAAAATAGTTGAAAAAAATTAAGACCCTTGGCCTAGAGACATGGTTCAACTGGTAAAACACTTGTAGCAAGTGCAAGACCCTGGGTTTAATGCTAGCATGAGAAATAAATACATGAATAATTTTTTTTAGTGGGTGAGGACAAGAGGGGAAAAGTGGGAGAGAGCAAAAGAAGGGGTAACATTTTCCAGAAAAAATATACTCATTACCTGACTTATGAAACAGTAGCCCCGGTATATATCACCTTTATAAATAACAATAAAACAACTAAAAAGAAATGGGAAAGTTTATGTTGGCTCATAATTTTGAAGGTTTTGGTCTATGGTGCATCAACCTTGTTGCTTTTTGGCCTGAAGCATGAGAGACATCTTGGTAGAAGCATGTGGCAGAGAATTAGCTCATTTCATGGCACCCAAGTCATGGCACTGTGAAAGTATAACTTTGGAGTCCTCCAAAACAGAGTGTTAAGTAGAGTGGAAAGTAGAAATGAGAAGATCCAGTCATTTCCAAGAGTAGACTGTGCCGTGTTGGTGACCAGAACAGTGGGAGAATCAACCACTTTGCATTGCATCATGTATCCTGGTGACTGGGGTTCCACATGCCCTTGGGAAGCATCATCCAAGTTTCACTCCCCTGAAGTGGAGTGTACTTCATAAGGCTATTTCTTTTTCCTTGTTTTATTTTTTTTGGCAGGGGGGGGAGGGGGGTTGGGGGGTTAAGTTGGGTGGGGGGGGAGAATTTGGCAGTATTGGGATTTAAACTTAGGGCTTTTCACTTGAGATCCCTGTAGGCTAACCTTTCTCTTTTTTTTCATTTTCTTTTCTTTTTCTTTACTTCCTTCCTTCCTTTTTTTGGCTAACCATAGTGATTTCTTCTTTTTTCCTTTTTTTCTTTTTGAACTGCTGTTGAGTCTTTTTTTTTTTTTT